AGCTTTAGCTTTTCATATTTTGTATTCATTCTGTTTTTAACCTACATCACCCCAAATGTCTATTAAGCATATACCATGTTGGTTGTAATGAGCTAGTTTTTCTGAGGAGGGAAGGCAGAGCCACAGTGCTGCCCTAAATTTCAGTTCAGGTGGGCAAATGTTTGTGGAGGGCCCTGTGCGGGATGGTGATGTGTGGAACTAGGGCTGGGTTCGTAAGTCAAGGCCTTGGTCATTGTCTTCATAGAGCCAGTAAGAGGGTATTGAAAATTGGACTTACAGTTGTACAAATTGTCCAGCCTTTGTAGTATAACATGGTTGCATTTAGTTAAGATTGTAAATAGGAGCAACCAGATACCTATACTTTCCGCTAGCCCCACCAGATTTCCTATTTCATTAAACTTGAAGCTGCTCACATAGCAGCCCTGCCCCGCAGGCAGGCAGTAGTGGGTCTCAGTTTCCTTCTGCAGGTGCATCTTGATGTCCAGGAGCTGCTGGTAGCCTGCACTCCAGCTCTCTGTCTCCCTGCGGAGGCTGGAGGCCTAGAATAATCTTTTAGAAAGAACTTCTGGGTAGGAGGTTGGAATAAGTCACCACCCAACTCTTTAAAATCGTGTTTTTTTTAAAAATTGAAGTCTAATTGATTTACAATGTTGTGTTAGTTTCTGGTGTATAGCATAGTGATTCAGTTATACATATATACCCTTTTCCATTGTGGTTTATGATACAATACTGAATATAGTTCCCTGTGCTATACAGGAGGGCCTTGTTGTTTATCTATTTTATATGTAGTAATTTATATATGCTAATCCCTAATTTATCCCTCCTCCACCCCTTCCCCCTTTGATAACCATAAGTTTGTTTTCTATGTCTGTGAGTCTATTTCTGTTTTGTAAATAAGTTCATTTGTATCATTAAAATGTGTGATTTTTTAAGTTGTTATGATTCTGATAGAAATCACAAGTGTTAACATTGGATCTTCGTGGAAACTTTTGGGTGTGGAACACCCAGTGGGGAAAGCAAAATGACCTCATTTTGAAATGATACAATGAAGCCCTTATTTGCATACAAGCATGGATATTTAAAAAAATCTGACTTCTTGATCTTAGGCAAACTAATAAAAATTATTTGAAGCAATTTATCTTACAGATAGCTGCCAACAATGAGTAAAGCTAAAAGCAGTGTTTGTCTCTAAAGGTGGGGGTGTAAGGCTTAACTGACAGAGGTTGTGATAGTATGAAAAGCTCTTTCCGCAAGGTCAGTAAATTCCAGGCATTAATAATTGCAGTTATGCGTTGTACCAGTCCAAGAGAAGGTGCTTGGACTATGATTATGCTTCTCAAAATATACATGTGAGTTCTTTACAAAGTCCTTTGCAGAAAATCTCACCATCTTATTATAAAAAGCTTAGAATGGCTCTTGCTTAGATTGCTTATCTTACGTACTTTTTGTGCATAAAAGTTGAGTTTTCAATGAAATATTGCCTTGCCTGTCTCACCTCCCACCTTTGCTGCCACGGTGAGATCATGACGCTCATTCAAGATGCTGCACTTGACTTCCCCAGGACACAGCTCTTGTTCTACTTAGAAAGCTGGTCTTCCCCTGGTTTTGCCCTCTACATGAAATCCGGCTTCAGTTTTAATGGCCAAAGGGGCATTTAGTATCCTGCTCTCCAGGCTGACCTCAGGCCAAGGGCCATCTTTGTTAGCACTTCCTGTCTCCAGAACGTCACACAACATCCACAAGTTCCTCCTCTCTACGTAGACCGAGAACTGTCCTGGGAATTTTAAAGCCTGCTTGTTTGCTTTAGGTCGGGGAGAAGCAGTTTTGTAAAATGGAAGTATACACAGTCGTTTTTTAGGTATCTCTTTCAGAATGAGACTACCCTATGAGTTTCATATAGGAAACTGTAGACCTTCATTTATGTTGGTAGAGTGGAAAGAACACGGCTTTTGGGATTAGGAAGACAGAACTTCGACTTCTAATTCTTCCTCTTACTTGCCCTGTGACTTTGAATAAATGATTTGACCTCTCCAAGCTACATTCTTCTTCCTCTGTGAAATAGGAACAGTAATATCTACATCATAGGGTTTGAGGAGTAAGTGAAATAAAGCATATAGATACCAAGCATTTATCTATGTAATAAGCGCTTATGAAATGTGAATTCATCTCTTCCCTCTCTTTTTTTGCTTGGTCAAAAAAATCATTATGCTTGATATCACTTGTAAAAATGCCTATTTAGATTAATTATAGACACTAACTCACTGTGATCCTCTGTATCACAGGTGGGACCACATTCAGCTGCACTTTTTCTAAGTTACTCTTAAATAAAAGGCAGTACCGACACCGTAGACCGAGTCAAGCAATTAACAGATGTGATATTAAACAACAAGGTCCTACTATAGAGCACAGGGAACTATAGTCATTATCTTGCAATAACCTATGATGGAAAAGAACCTGAAAAAGAAATGTATATTTCTGAATCACTTTGCTTTACAGCAGAAACTAACATAACATTGTAAATCAACTATGTTTCAATAAAAAATGTGGTTGGAAACTATTGGCTGTCAGTGGGGATGGGGTTTGGCTATGAGGAGATGCAGTATGGGGTGGAGGAGTAGGATGTACAAACTGCTGGGTGTTAAGGTAGGCTCGAGGGGGTCGTGTACAACACCGGGAGTATAGCCACTATTTTGTAATAACTGTAAAGTGAAAGTAACCTTTAAAAATTGTATAACAATAGGGGGAGGGTACAGCTTAGTGGTAGAGTGTGTGCTTAGCATGCACGGAGTCCAGGGTTCAATCCCCAGTACATCCTCTAAATATAAATAAATAAATAAATAAATAAATAAATAAATAAATAAACAAACCAAATTACCTCCCCCTCATAAAAATAAACAAACAAAAAATTGTATAACAATAAAAAACTAAAAAAAAAGAAATGGTAATTATGTGACATGACGGAGGTGTTAGCTAAGGCTATGGTGGTGATCATTCTGCAATGAGAGGAGTATTAAATTCATACACTGAACACCTGAAACTTACACAATGTTATATGTCAGTTATATCTCAATAAAGCTGTGAGGTGGGGAAAGAAAAAAAAATGTAAGAATACAAGCCAAGATATCAACAGTGATTATGTTAGTGGGGTTATGAGTGATTTTAATTTTCTTCTTCTAGTTTGCATTTTCCAAATTGTCTTCAATAAATTACTTTTTTATCTTTAATTTTATTTCTCATTGAAGTGTAGTTGATTTACAATGTTAATTTCAGGTGTACAGCAAAGTGATTCAGTTATACATATACATACATATATATATTTTTTTCAGATTTTTTCCATTATATATTATTGCAAAAAATTGAATATAGTTCCCTATGCTATACAGTAGGCCCTTACTTTTAAAAATATTTAAAAAATACTATTAAATTTTTT